TGAAGCAGATTGAATGTGGGACCAGCAGGATTCTGCATGTCAAGCAGCTAGTGGGTTTGGGGTTGGTTGGGTGGCCTTTTTTTTGAGATCCTCTAGATAGGAAAACACTTTTCAGATTTTAGGATTTGCTTTTCACTTTTCATACTTTGCAGCAAAATTTTCATTTTTTTTAAGGCAAAAAAGAGAGGAAGACAAATGAAACCAACACTTTCACATAGCTAGAGAATTTTCTCACTTGTGACTTTAAAAACCAAAACTTTTGTGGTAAACCAAGGCAGTTTCTCATTCTTTACTATGTATGGTGTCTTTAACATGGATAAATACAAGGTAGTAATGCTTTTTCTTATTAGTTCCTGCTGGCCTGCAATGTGTGGCTAGTTTTGTACACAATTTAAAAGTAGCTACCATCATGGAAGGAGTCAATCCCTATTTTAAGGTTAAAAAGCAACCCTTAAAAAATGTAATTGTTGTTTAGTATGAATGCAAAGGGGAAAGGACAAAATCTTAAATTTTTAAATGTAATATTCCTTGTGTTTGTTTGGGATAGAAATCCGGTTTGTTTCCTATCAAATGATTCTCAGCCTTACAAAAGCTGGAATAAAGTAACACTTTTGTGGCTAGAAATTCTAATAAATAGTTTATTACCTTTAAAAAGAATTCGCAAAGTGATCACGTATTGAAGGGACTGTTACCCGGAAGATGCCAAATTTGAGAGGAGTGAGAATTAATTTTTTTTCTGTGTTGTAGGGTGAGTTATTTTTAAGAACTTGTCAGATTCAGAAATGTGTTATGAAACTTGACGTTTATTGGTTTCTTAGATCATAAATCTGTTTTTGAGGATTGAGTGAAGTGCTTTGAACTAGGAGATAAGCAGAATAATAGGCTTGTGGTACATAGCTTAGGTTCCAGCCCTTTTGCCATTTCCGATATTTTGGAAACGTATTTTATTACTGAGAAGCAGAAAAATCACAGATGACTACTAGGATGCTTCATATAAACTACGTTTACAGTATTTTCTAAAGCTTAAAAGAGAATGAAAGTTTTCCGCATTTTGTTACTTTATTTTACAGGACTTGTTCTATGCCGTTTAATTTTGAACATATATTCTAGCTGAACAGCTAAAATTATTAAGGGCGTGGGCAAATGGTTCCATTTGAAATGGACACATAAAATTTGTATGGATGCATACTGGCCTTTTCTTTACTCTTTCATTCATAAAGCCAGCTACCTCCAGCTTCCACTAGAAAGCCAGGTTCACTGCACACAGCCTTTCTGTGCATCAAATTGTATGCCATCCATTATCAGTATAGCTATTACTGTAATGTTTAGTTTACATACCTGAGACAGAGTAGATATCCCACTGAATAATGTAACCACTTCTCTTAGACATTTATGTAATATGATCTTAGACAGAAACATTCAGAACTGCTTTCAAAAGTGATTTGAGAGAGTTCAGGTTTTATACGCATATGTTTGTCAAATGAAAGGTGCATGTTGAGAGAGAGTTTTTTCTTCTTCCTCTAAAAATCAATGCTTTTAAAAGGCAGGTACCTGAAAGTTAAAAGGCACAAGAGTGTTTGCTTTCTCTTTTAACAACCGAGGCCAACCTTGTAGAAATACAGAGGGAAAATCTAGGTGTGTGACTAATATTGCTGATTAATGATCTGGGAGGAATTTGTAAATAGTTGCAACTTAACAGCTAAGTCTGGCAGCAGTATGTGTTGTCCGACAGAGTATCTATGCTGTCAAAGAAAACAGGAGAAATGGTCTGAGGGAGCCTGGCTGGAGCATGCAGAATATACATGGCAGAAGAGCAGGCAGTGCAGCGCTCAGTCCCAGCCCGTGTCCTGTGTGCTCACTGCATGGGGAGAAAGGGAAAACCTTAAGTGAAAGCCCGGTTGTGTGTGTACTATGGCTCTTTGTCCGAGTTCACTTATTTTTTGCAGGGTAAAGATTAACAGGCCATATTATACCATATTGCACACAATCTAGATGCTGTTTTGTCTCAACTTTTAAAAATAAACTTTCCTGCTAGACTGTATGTCCTTAATTGTGTAAATAATACCAATGAAAGAAACGTGACTGCCATAGTCTATTCCCCATCTCATGTTCCATCACCCTGCCAAGCCTCAGTCGGGGGTTTGGTTTGGCTTTGATTTGGGGGTTTGTTAGCATTTTGCTATTACCTTTACTGTGTTTTCCTTCTGACCTTTTGTATTTGTACAGAATGTGTAACATCCTCTGCCTCTTTTCAAGCTGTATCTCTTGTTTTTAACGGCTCCCTGATTAATTCTATCCATTTTATAGCCAAACACTTTTAATACCTGGGGTCTTATCTCTGAAGTAACACAAGTAACATATTTCAGACCAGTATTGGAGCAGGCTTGCAAGTAGCCAGATATACCTTAATTAGCAAATGGCCAATTTTAAGGATACCCCAATTAGAGACATTCTCATATTGGTATCTGAGAACTTATTTGACTCTGACAAGAAAGCAGCTAAGCCCTGTTGTCTTCTGAAACTGAAAAAAGCCACCATCTGAAAGCAGCAACTTTCACAATACTTTGTCTCTTATATTTTCTCTTAATTGGATAACCATTACTATGTAGGGAATGTCATCCCTGTCTCAAAGAAAATGCAATCCCATAGCTTTCTTCTTATTTTCTTTAAAACCAAAATTGCTTCCAAATATTTTCACCTGTCCCTACTGTTTCAAATGGGGCCACCGCAACACAGTATTGTTTGGGTTTCAGAAGTATTGCTACTGATACTTAAACATACATTAATTTAAAGGAGTCTTGTGTATTGTTTTCATAATGCTTTAAAGCTTTTTTTATTTATTAATAACTCTTAGGAAATGGCGAAGATTCTCAATCATCCAAGAGTATATGCTTTTCTGCACATACCGGTCCAGTCAGCCTCTGACAGTGTGCTCATGGACATGAAAAGAGAATACTGCGTGGCAGACTTCAAACAAGTAGTGGATTTCCTTAAAGAAAAGTAAGTCTACTAATATTTGAGAAAATAACAGTGTTGGTTTTTTTGCAATGTCAAGAACATGTGGCTGAAAACACAATTACTTGCAACTTCATAATTAAGGTATGAAAAAGAATGAGCTTCTCTAAGCTTTCAAAGTCTTTGAGTTTTCTGTAAGCCCCTTGATGTGGTTTCCCCATTTGCTTGGGCTTTTATAAGCATCTTAAATCTCTGCATGACATGCTTTTAATTTGTCAATATATTCCTAATCTTTTTCAAATAATACATTCTTAAATTATTTTTTGTGTTTAAACTACTATACGTGGACTGCTTGAAGTTAAAGTTATTGAAGTCTTCTTTAATGTGGCTTTTGAATATTGTATACTTTGTGTACTGGAGATGATCCAGCTCCAGCAAATTGGAATGGGTTTTTTTGTTTAGTTGGTTTTGTTTGGGGTTTTGTTTTTAATAAGTATTTTAGGTCCTATAGCTGATGTACATTTACATCAATATAGTACTCTATAGCTTGCTTATGGGACTGATGATTTCTAGGATAATTTCAAAATTATTTCCCTTCACAACAGAGCTAATTGTGAGAAAGAAAAGAGTATATCATAATGCGTTTACTTATGCTCACCTGAAGTTACGTTCACCTGCAAAGCTTTTGTAACTACAAGTAATAATTTAATATCCAAGGAAGTCTTTTCTTAGCTTTTAAAATTTAATAGTGACATATTTTGATGCATAGTTCTGCACCAATTGTCCTAAAAATAGGTGTCTGGAGAATTTATTTGTCACCTTGTTTGGCTACTTTCTCTCTGCTTTTCTTGTTGTTTGTGTGCTCGTTTTAATGAATTAAGGGCAGTGAACTTGTACCTTTGACTCTTCAATTGCATTAAAATACTTGTACATTAAAGAATCAAATTTTCATAATCAATTTCTCATGATCATTGAAAAATCCAGCAGTCTAGCTGTGTAAAACATGTCATGCAAGAGCTGCATGGGAATTATGATACATAAGAAACAAAAGCAAACTGTGACACAATAGAATCTATTTTGCAAACTGTATGTGTAGTTTATAGGACATTCCTATGCATCTAGGACAACTGATGGAAATGGAGTTGCTTGTTATCATACAGGTTGATTGGGCGTTAATTTTCCACCCTAAACAACGCACATGAATTCTTGGCACTTAATTTTCATGTGACTATGGGTCAGTGTTAGTTTTTAATTAACAGATATATTGTATTCCCACGTATCTTAAGTGGGAACTGTGTCAGTTTATGTTTTACTTGACTTGAAGCTGATTCATTATGCTCTTCAGTAGTTTTAGCATTGGCAGCTATTATCATAACAGCAGCTGGATTTTCGATAACCTAGTATAGCTGGCATATGGGAATTTATTAAATCGTTCAGCTCTTGCACACAGAAAAGAGTGAATTACTTAATATCCAAATTTAAAACAGCTGGTCATTAAATATACAGTAATCCATGACATACGTCTTTTTCCACAGGCTTTTTTGTAGTGAACTTAACAAGGAAGAAATAATTGGTTTGATGTCTTAATTTTAAATAATAATAAACTTTATTTATCCTGCTTATTAAGAAACTACCAAATTATCTAGTAGTTCCTGTTAGAAAACAGTCTCCAAATATTAAGATGGAAAATTCTTTGTACCATATGGCAGCAGGATGAGGAAGCTATGCAAGGCGGAGAAAATGTTTTGGATATTTGAACATGTGCACATCTGTAAAACTAATTTTTTTTTTTTTCTTTTGCACTTAAGAGCATAGTGTCTTCATTTGTAGTCTCTCCTCTTATGGCAGCAGCCAGCTATTACATTCCCATATAGATATTCCCATAAAGATCTAGCACAAAGTTTGCCAGGACTTAACATTGCTGCAGCCAACTCCAGACCTAGAGCCAGAATAGCTAAAATTAAATATGTGTTTGAAATACTTTAATAGCCAAAAGGGATTATTTCGATCTTCCATATATCAAAAAGGAAAAATAAAACAGAAGTAGAACCCCCTATATCTCCTTTTTCTATTCCTAAGGCCATAAAGTCATCTAGAAGCTTTCTACGCAAAATGTATAGGGTCTTATCAGTAGATTCCAAATGGCACCTTCGTCTCTAAAACATGACATCTGCTCTGATAGTATCTTCACCTAAACTCTGTTAAATCAATAATTGTGTGGGCTGACCAGCTGAAGAAGTAAAGCCACACATCAAGGAATTACGTGGTTATCAGTTAAGCGCTTAATAACTTGAGTTCAAACATCTAAGCAAATAAAAATGAAGTACAGCACGTAAAAAGTGAAGGGAAAAGGGAAAAGAATGAGCCATGTCATCTTTTTTGTTTTGGAACCCCAAAGACAGTGAGTGATTCCTGACTCTTCCTTTTCTCAATCAGGCCAACAAAACGCTCTGGGACTTTTTTCCCCCAGAAGAAGGAGCAAATGCCTTTCCTTCCTCTGGAGAGCCAGGAGTGACTGCAGAGGTATCTCCTTCTGAGAGTGGGGTTTTATTCATATCCTGCTGAGCACAGAACGCCTTACAGAGAAGCTAGAGTTCTCCAAAGCAATTACTTTTTGTGTCACTCACTTTTTAAAAGAATGGAGCATTCCAGACCCTCTGGGACTGTGAAGTTAGACATGTCACTTTTTTCGTCTCTTTTAGGACTCCTTCTTCAGCAGGAAGCCGAGAAATGAACTTTAAAAGTTAGTATTGATGTTCTAGTGCAGTCTTTTGATATGAAACACTTTGGTTTTTAGAGCCACTCTCCCCAGCCAGGTGACAACATTTTTGGTTTATTATGAAGGTCAATAGCAAAACAAATAGAATATAAAGCTAGAAACACAAATTCATTAGACTGAAAAAATGAACTACAGAAGTCTTGTTTTATGGTTTTTTAGAAATCCCTTCTTTGATATTTTGCAGTTTTTTGCACTGAAATTTCAGTAAATTCAAGTATTCAGAAAAACTCAACTGTTGTGCGCTTGATAGGTCAGTAGCTGATCTACAGATATAATAAGTGATATATTTACTGAGGATTTATTTGTAAATTATTCTAGAGAACCACAGCATAAAGGAAATGAGGATACACTGATTAATTTAGAAGGTGGTCCTGTACAACTTTTACATAGTCTGTAGGGACTAGAGACTAGTGCCCTAGTCTGTAGTCTTTAGGGACTAATACAGTAGTCTGGAGGGACTATTTGCAAGACTGATTCCTGGATGAGATACTAATTTCAATGTGTTTGCAACTAAATACAGGAGCTTTGGAAATTGCTGCTTCCAGATAATAATCCAGAGACCAATTTAGTCTTATATCAGAAAGTCTTTTAATTGTGGTGTCATATCAAAATGTGATTTGTTTTTCAAGTGATCTCAACTTTCAAGATTCCGCATAAATTATATTTCTGAAAGGTGATGTTTGTAGTTGCAAAAAGAGCAAGACTGCTTTAATTATCTTGAAGTTTTGAAACTTAATCCCCTGAAATTTACTTTTGCTGATAAAAGCAAACAAATGGAATATATTTTATTTAAAGAAACCTGAGATCTGAATGTCATATTCTGTAATTGCTTGAATAATCAGCAATGTGAATATATACACATTAAAAAATCCGTAGACTGGTAATATGTTTTCCAAATTTCTTGTTTGCTGTTGTTGACCGTACTACATTCTTTTACCTTTCTGGTTTGTGAAGCGATTGTGATGTGCATCAAAGTTTATGTTAATCTTTCCCTATTACTGCTGCTTGATAAGGTGAGAGAATTGTAAAACCAAAATCTAGATTCCATGAATAAAAAAAGTAGAGAAGTTTAGAGCTAGGCTGCAACACTATACCTTTCTGTTTTGGGAAATAGCATAATGCTGAGGGAAAGCCGGATTTCCCTCAGATTTTGTTTTTGTTTGTGTTCTGAGATAGGAGCGTAATATTAATTGTGGGTGGCTGCTGCTGTTCACTTGAGATTGTCTCACAGTTCATACTGGAAACATCTCAGCTTTCCAATACCATCTGAAAGCCAGCAAACTTGGGCTGCCAGAGGGGGCGAGCCGCAGCTCTGTCAGGCAGAAAGTTCTGTTCTTTTTTGCACTATTTCTCTCTTCTCCATTAAAATCAGACCTACTAGTAACCCTGTCCTAGCCTCGGTTACTTTCAGTGGTAATCAAGTATCGATTTCTCAGCATATATAGATACATAATTACATGCAGTTGGAAAAAGAATGTAAAGGACCAAAAGTAAGTGAGTGCAGTGGAAAATAAATTGCAAGCTTGGAAGGAGATTAATCACTCAGGTGTAAACTCAAATCTTAGTTGCCCAGCAATTACAGACAACTGCTGAACATCTGAAGAAACTTGGAGATACTGTCCAAATTGAGAGGTGTTACATAGTCCTTTGGGGCAGCTGGCTTCAGGGAGGCTCCCTTCTTCCCTGTTGCTTTACAAGGAGCTAAGCCAACAAATGGTAGCTTCAGCAGCTTCCTAGGCCACCTCTTAATTCTGTCTTTAAGGATTTGGGGGGATTCAGCAGTGACTGTCTCGTGTTTCTTTTGGTCTGCCCTGACTTTGTCTCTTTTGTTGCAGCGGCAGCCAGGCTGCATCTGCTTGGACGTTTAGACAGGCTGCCTCAGGGTAGCGTAGCGTGGCTGGGAGCAAAGTGGACTCCGCTACTCTTGCCTCCCAGTCATGCTGTACATCCATGCTAGTCTTAGTTTTTAGAGCAAAATTTTGAGTGTCTGAATGAAACTTTTCCATAGTCCGCTTTCTCAATATAATTTCATCCCATGTGTTTCAGTATGGCTGCTCTTGCCTTTCTGAGCAATTTCACAAGCAGTAATTTGTTTCCCAGGTTCTAGTCTTCTGTTGTGACCTTGTTCTTAATCTGGGCATCGTAACACGTATCATAAAAGCTTATGAGGGCAACCGGCTGTTTGTCATGGTCTCTGTCTGTATTTCTTGCGCAAGTGACTACCTTGCCATCCAGAAGTCTTCTGCTTGAAAATTTTCTCTATTTT